TACAAGTTGTGAAGCCAAACAAATATTGGTCAGGGTGGTCTAAGTATACTTGATCCTGCCTCAGAACTGTCAGAATGGTCTAAAAATCCCTTGCACCCTGAATTTCTACAATTCTATTCTTCACTCTTGGGTATGGGAAAAGGCCACATTGAACAGTTTCTCTTTAGTTCCCTATCCCAGCCCCCAAAACTCCTCAGTAAGCAAAAGAAATGTACTGGGGTGGTGTTTTACATACCTTGTCATCCTCACATCTACCAAGTAGTAATTACCCAACATCATGGACATGAGAGGAATGCTAAAGCAATGGGTCTGAAAGACTGCACCTAGGTATCATGGTGGTAGAAGTAATAAATGCTACTACTGAACTTCAATGGGGAGGGGAGTATGATCCTGTCATGGAACCATAACAGCTCAACAGTACTTCAGAGGAAGAGGATATTTTCTTGTTCAGATTTATGATTTATTGCATAACAATCCTAACTTGTCATCACTGTGATACACTCAAGATAAATGGTTTTGGCAGTGAATAGAAACTAAGTCAATCATTTGCAGTTAAATTAGGCAAAGTTACATTAGTGACTGTATATTCTACAAAGAAATCACCTCTTTACTTTCAGGGTGCTTTCACTCTTGCATACAAATCTTTATTATCTGCAACATTCTCTTCTTTGGAAGTCCTCACACCATCATGGAACTATGACATAATTGAAATAACAGAGACTTGGTGAGCTAGCTCGCATGACTGGAGCACAATTTTTTTGGCTTCTTCACAACCTGTATGTTTGACAGGGATTCCACTAATGTCCTTAGGTAACCTGTTCCCACAAGTTGGGTATAAAATGTTCAGGAAAGACAGGCAGGGGAGAAGAAGAAAAGCTTTATATAAAAGAGCTGTATGATTACTCAAAGCTCCAGTATGAAACTGGAGACAGGCCTGTTGATACTCTGTGGGTTAAGGTCAGAAGAGAAAGCAACAAGGATGATGTTATGGTGGCTGTCTGGTATAGACCACCAGACCAGGAGGCAGTGGTGGATGAGGCTTTCTTCAAACAGCTAGCAGAATTTTTCCAATAACAGGCCCTGGTTCTCAGGGGGACTTCAATCACCCTGACATCTGCTAGGACAACAACACAGCAGTGCAAAGACAATCCAGGACATTTTTGGAGAGTCTTGGGATCAGCTTCCTGGTGCAAGTACTGGAGAAGCCAACTAGGGACCATGCTTCCCTCACAAACAGGGAAGAATTGGTGGGGAATGTAGTAGTGGATGGTAACTTGGGCAGCAGCAACCATGAGATGATTGAGTTCAGGATCCCAAGGAAAGGAAGGAGAGCAGCACAGTACAGGCCCTGGACTTCAGAAAAGCAGACTTGAACTCACTCAAGGAACTCATGGTCAGGATCCTCTTGAAAACCAGTCTGATGCAGGGAGAGGAGTCCAGGACAGCTGGCTGTACTTTAAAGAAACCTTACTGAGGGCACAGGAACAAACCATCCCACAGTGCAGGAACACTAGCAAGTACGGCAGAAGACCAGCTTGGCTTACCTGGGAACTCTTCAGTAAGCTAAAACACAAAAAGGAAGCTTATAAGAAGTGGAAACTTGGACAAACAACTAAGGAGGAGATAAAAGTATTGCTCGGGGGCTCGAGCATGCAGGGATGAAGTCAGGAAAGCCAAAGCACAGCTGGAGTTGCAGCTAGCAAGGGATGTGAGGGGTAACAAGAAGGGTTCCTACAAGTATGTCAGCAACAAGAGGAGGATCAGAGAAAGTGTGGGTCCTTTACTACTAAATGGGAGAGACAACCTAGTGACAGAGGATGGAGAAACGGCTGAAGTACTCAATGCCTGAATACTAAGAGAGCTGGCCACTGTGTTTGCAGAGCTTCTGGCCATGATCTTTGAAAATGCTTGGCAATTGGGAGAGGTCCCAGATGACTGGAAAGCAGTAAATATAGAACCCATCTTTAAGAAAGGGAAGAAGAAACATCCAGGGAATTATAGACCGGTCGGCCTCCCCTCAGTCCCTAGAAAAATCATGAAGCGGGTCCTCCTCAAGGAATTAATTTCTAAGCACCCAAATGAGAAAGTGATTGGAAACAGTCAGCATGCATTCACCAAGGACAAGTCATGCTTAACCAACCTGATTGCCTTCTATGGCAAAATGACTGATTCTGCAGAGGCAGGGAGGCCAGTTCATGTGGTATAGCTTGATTTTACAAGGCTTTTGATATGATCTCTCACAAAAGTCTTGCAAGCAAGCTAAGGAAGTATGGGTTGGTTGGATGAATGGACTGTAAGGTGGATAGAAAACCTGCTGTATCATTGGTTTTAGAAGATAGTAGTCAATGGCTCGATGTCTAGTTGGCAGCTGATATCAAGTGGAGTGCCCCAGGGGTCAGTCCTGGGGCCAGTTTTGTTCAATATCTTCATAAATGACCTGGAAGATGGGATGGAGTACACCCTCAGCAAATCTGCAGGTGACATGAAGCTGAGGAGAGTAGTAGATGCACTGGAGGGTAGGGCTAGGATTCAGAGAGACCTAGACAAATTGGAGGATTTAACCAAAAGAAATCTCATGAGGTTCAGTAAGGACAAGAGCAAAGTCCTGCACTTAGGATGGAACAATCCCATGCACCAGTACAGGCTGGGGACTGACTGGCTAAGTAGCAGCTCTGCAGAAAAGGACTTTGGGGTTACAGTGGACAATAAGTTAAATATGAGCCAATAGTGTATTCTTGTTGCAAAGAAGGTTAACGGCATACTGGGCTGCATTGGTAGAAGCTTTGCCAGCAGAATGAAGTAAGTGATTCTGCCCCTCTATTTTGCACTGATAAGGCCACTTCTGGAGTACTTTGTCCAGTTTTGGGCCCCCCACTAGAGAAAGGATGTGGACAAACTGAAGAGAGTCCAGCAGGGGGCAACTAAAATGGTGAAGGGGCTGGGGTACATGACTTAGGAGGAGAGGCTGAGGGAACTGGGTTTATTCAATTAGCCAAAGTGAAGACTGGGGGAGAGGGGGCAGTTAATACCAGCCTTCAACTACCTGATGTGTGGCTACAAATAGGATGGAGCTAGACTGTTCTCAGTGGTGGCAGATGACAGAACAAGGAGCAATGGTGTCAAGTTGCAGTGAGGGAAGTTTAGGTTAGATATTAGGAAAAACTTTCTCACTAGAAAAGTAGTAAAACACTGGAGCAGGTTACCCAGAGAGGTTGTGGACTCTCCATCCTTGGAGGTTTTCAAGACCTCGCTAGACAAAGCCTTGGCTGGGATGATCTTAGTTTGGGATGGTCCTGCTTTGAGCAGGCGGTTGGACTAGGTGAGCTCCTGAGACCCCTTCCAACCCTAATATTCTTTGATTCTGTGATGCTATAAAATACTAATGCATTACTACACATGGTGGTAGAATATTCTGGTCTTCAAATGTTAATACTAAAAATATATAAAATTAGTATATATTTTATTTTATATTATTATATTAAAATTAGTATATATTTGCTGGCAGCAATCAGCATAGTACAAGTAGATGATTTACATTTTTAATATGGATCAACCAGTTTATATTATTTTTTCCCATTGTAAAACAATATTTTGCATATTTTACCACCTTTTACCCTGAGTACTCATTGTATCAGAGTAATGAGTGCTATAAATACGCAAAATATCTAGGGCTCACTAATATCCATGGCCTCAATCCAACATATTCTTATTTATGCAAGTAATTTATTGAGTCTATTCATATGTATATGTGTTTGTGCTCATGTTGCTTATCTGGGTTGTAATTCAGTTGTGAATTATTAACCTGAATATGAGTCTGTAGGATCAGACCAGTCGTGGAACACAGTAGCTAACTACAACATTACAGAATGATTTTAAAATAAGAAATAAAAAAGACTCTTTTCAATTACAAGTATAAAGCAGAGATTCCTAAACTGTAATGTATAATGATGCACAGCACTCTTGGTGGTTATCTGTGGAGAGCTGTTCTCATGATACAAGTTCTACCTTAATTCAGCTGCATTATTCAGCTGCATTAAAAAGACAACTAAAGGTATATAAATACATAGAAAGATAATATCAGGAAAGAAAACAATTGGCATTGTTGCTGCAGGGGTATTCTACAGTTGCTAGTGGGAAGAGATGTACCACAAGACCTGAAACAGGTGGAGGAGTTAGGTGCAATGAAAAGTAAGAGAAAATTAAGGTTGCAGGTTAAGGTTGCAGCTCCTACAGCATTCAGAAAGGCCACAGGACCCTCACTCTAATATGTGCTCTAGATTATGTAAATGTTCAGGAAACTCTGCTACTGGACATTATAGATCAGCAGAATATAATTATGCAAAATAGGAGTTGGCCCCATTAGCCTTATTGTTATGAAAAGTATCTTGGGAGCTTAAGAAATCCAGCTGATGGAAGTTACACCAGTGTAAGAGCAGCATGAAAGAAGAATCAGGCACTCAAAGTTCAGGACATTGGCTCAGTGCACCATCTGGAAGACAACTCCTCCCAGCCCCTGGTCACCATGCAGGGACCCTCATAAAAGAGGGAAAAGAACCCTCTACTGGGGCCCTGATACTACATATCACACTATTTCCATGGAGGCATTCCACTGAAATACACATCAAAGCTGTCACTACTTTGGGCAACAGTGAAATCACCTGAAGTGGTATGATGCATAAAGCTACACCAAGTACAATGATAAGGGAAATCTCATTATAAATATTTTTTAAAGGCCTTAATGATATTACAAAAGTTTGTGATACTGTTGAAGATTATTTACATCGTGTTGTTTGCAGAAAAAAGAGTGTACCAATATTTATCTAGCTTTTTTATCTAGAGTTAATACATTTTGAAGAGCATAAATTGACACTATAGCTGATTGATAGAATAAATGGTTTGCCCAAGACCACAAACCAGGCCATCAGGATTAGAACTGAGATCTCCTGACTTCTAGCCAAGTGTCCTGCTGGTTACAGAACACAACATGCTCATGAACTTACCTATAATGATTCTCTGTGTTGCAAAACTCTCTATGTTCTTGGACGGTGCTGTTTCTGAGAAAGGGGGCCAGACATCCATTAGGTCTGATGGCAAAGTGGTTAGCTTGTTGCTGGATATGTCCAAGTAGGTGAGGTTTTTCAGGTATCTACCAGCCTCAGCTGGAATGCTTGTAAGTTTGTTGTTATGTAAGTCAAGGATCCGTAAGTTGGGCATCTCAGCCAGAGATTCCCAAGGAAAACTCGACAACAAATTACCGTCCAGACGTAATTCATGCAGCCGTTTCAAATTATAAAAACTGCTGACATCAATATTAGCTACACAGTTATAGGTTACCCACAGGTATTTGAGGTCCACCAGATAATAAAAGGCTTCTGTTGGGATCCTTCGTACAACAGTTTTTTCTACTCGAAGCTTTACAGTATCCACAGGAACATTCACAGGGATCTCAAACATATCCGGATCATTACAAAGCACAGACCTAGCACCAAACAAAAAGAGATCTGTACTGCATTATCAGAAACTTGCCATTTCAAATATAAAAGTAAATGTTAATACTTTTCTCACCACTAGAACTTCCACAAGAAGATCAGTTATAATAACATCCTTTATGTGAAAGGGTTACAGAGATAAGACTTGGACTTTCTTTCTGAAGTATAAATGAACATAAAATATCAGTGATGATGCCACATGAACTCCAGACTCAGATTCAAGATATTGTGTATATATTGGTGAAGTTTTACTTGTTGAAGCAGGTTGAAGATTACAGAAACATGTCAAAATCATTTAATTGAGTGCTTAAAATTAAGCTTCCAAATCCACAGCTATACCTATGTAGAAGTGACCTAATTTTCAGGGATCCTTAGCCATTTTCCACTCACACTGACTCGGTAGAGTTGAGCTTTCTAGGACCTCTGAGAACCAAGACATTATCATTTTAGGTGCCTACATATGGAAGCTTTAAGAGTCTTTTGTCTCAGGTTTGAAAGTTTTGGCCAATCATCTTGCCTTTCATTTTCTCTCAATATTTTGCAGATAGATTTTGATTTAAAGAAGAATATTCTACATCCATTTTCCTTTCTTCTCACCAGAACATTGTACCAAATATGCCGCAAGTATAAAACCAGCTAAAATTATAACTCCCAAAATGAGCAATAGCACAGTGTGCAGAGCATCTGGGATGAAGTGTTTCTGGGAGACGAAACTGTTCATTTATCACCCAACATCATGACTTTTTCTGTTGGCAAATGATGAAGTTTATTCCAGATTAAAGGAAATTATTGCGTTTATTTAAAATAGGATTCCCTTGCCATGGACAACTGGTTTTACAAATAGAGTGTTCAAGCTAATAACAGTATTAATTGGAGCAAATTAGAATGTAATAAGGAGTCTCTTTGTGGAAAAATTGAAGATTTAAATGTGACCAGCTGCTAAATGTAAAACCAATGAGACAAGACACCAATGTTATCTATTATTAACATCCAGGCATGTTATTAATATTATTAACATACTTTACTGTGTAACAGTAATGTTAAAAAATGTCTTCATATTGCTAAAATGCACACATGCTAACAAACGTATACTACACAATTTGTAATGATCATTTGCAAAGTGTGTTAGTCTAACACTTACTAGCCATCTTTTCTCAAATTACAATGCAGAATGGTAATAAAAAAGCATACCTTGTTCCAGTGCCATCACTTCTGCCATGGTAAATGCAAGTGCATTGTGAAGGACAAAAACTGTACACTTCTTCAAAAAAACTAATCATGAGGTATAGAAAGGTCAACAGATACATGACTTCCTCCCACCAAAGTGGATTTGAATAAAATCTAAAACCTTTTATTTCCAGACATTCATGTGCTGTATGCTATGACTGTGAATGCAGACCTCCATTTAGTAATAGCAGATTACAGCAGATTAACCGAGATCTGTGGTTACTTAACCTTCAAATGTATCCTGTAAGGGATCAAGTTGAACCAGCTTGTTTTACATTATGTCAAAGGAACACATTCTAGTTAAAATTATATCTATCATATAATCAAGACTATTTTAACATTCAAATATTCTCAACATAGATTTAATATACAGTGAGATATTGTTTTCCTTCTAAGAAGAATTGTATGGTTTGAGTTAACACCTACAAAGCACTCCAAGATCCTATAAGGCAATATTTAATAGAAAATTCAACATATCAAGATAGCACTAAACAACATATTCACAAGGGGCACATCAGGTACAGCAGGTACACACATGGTAAAGGAGTACCCTTGCTTAAAGGTTAAAGGTGCAAAATTAATAGCAGAACTGCAGAAGGATTTAGAAATTATTTTTAAATCCGATGTTTACAGATTTAGCAAAAAAGAAAAAGCATAAATATTTTAACAAAGCCTGCATGCTGAAAACCTTTCTATCAACAAATGAATGTGAATACAACTTCAATATTAATAACACTTCTTTACAATCAAAGAGATCAACTAATTATTGGTGCCATCTACTGATTATCAACTGATAGCACCCAAAAGTCTTGTGAAGTGAAATTCCATTTGAGTTTTAAATATATATTCTTCATTTTTCCTTTAAGCAACAGAACATCTGTTTTTTAGATTTGAGGATTTCAGAGCAATTTACACACACGACTTTTTTAATTAAGTTTAAGAGTACAACTTTTAGCATTCCAAAAGGGGCTGTGGCATTTAAGACACGCAGAGGAAATGGGGGTATTCAAGGGGAGTATGTATAAAGTCATTCCAGGTGCACTTCCTATGTTGTATAATCAGCCACAGCAGAGATTTATTCTTAAAACCTGAGGAACATCAAGATCAAGTGTACCACCCTCTGCAACCGAATCTCTAAAAAACAAACAAACAAACAAAAACACTCTCCTTCAATCCTGAATAAACTGGTTCCTAGCATTATCAATACTCTACATTCAAAAACCATGAATCAGACCTCAAAATCCTGAGACAGTTTTCGAAGACATGAGGGGGTTTGTGTGGGAGTTGTAAAGACATTGAGGGTTCTGTTTTATTTGCTTTCTGGATTTTGAGTCTTGATCATATTAGGATTTTCTCTACAAGGGCTAGAAACTTACTCTTGAGAAATGCACCAAATATCATGAAATTGGTGACAAAATCATGAGTTGGTGATAACTGATTACTACCACTCATTAGATGTTCCTGTCTCAGAGTACTCAGAAACAAATTCTGCAAGATGTTATCCACATGTGTATTCATAATTTTGACACAAGTAAGAATCAGAATGCTATCATGCCAGAAATTCTGGAAAAATATTTAAAGTTTAAAGGCCAAAATGTAAGTTCCAGTGGAATTCTGAAGACAGAAAATGTCTGTTACTGTTGTTTAATGAAACAAGGTTTGCTTTACTCTCCCTGCCTCCCATCTCACCTTATCCAACCACCTGAGTTATAAAACACAACAAATGCAAAACTCTAGAACTCTTGGTTTCAGAGATGATACCTTTTATTAGGCCAACTAAGAAATCACAGAAATATATATTTCTTTGCAACCTTTCAGGCACATGCACCCTTCTTCAGGCTGAGAACAAATCCAAGATGGTAAAAAGAGTCCAGAGGAGAGCCACACGCATGATCAGAGGTCAGGAAAATGGACCTTATGATGAGAGGCTGAGAGCCATGGGACTCTTCAGCCTGGAAAAGCGCAGGCTTAGGGGTGATCTGGTGGCTGCCTATAAGTTTATAAGGGGTGCTCACCAGGATCTGGGGGAACGTCTGTTCACCAGAGCACCCCAAGGGATGACAAGATCAAATGGTCACAGACTCCTCCAGGACTGTTTCAGACCAGACATAAGGAAGAACTTCTTTACTGTCCAAGCCCCCAAGGTCTGGAATAGACTGCCACTGGAGGTGGTTCAAGCACCTACTTTGAACACCTTCAAGAAACATTTGGATGTTTATCTTGCTGGGATCCTATGACCCCAGCTGACTTCCTGCCCCTGGGGCAGGGGGCTGGATTCGATGAACTTCTGAGGTCACTTTCAGCCCTAATGTCTATGAAATCTATAAATCCTCTTAGGTAGAAAATAAACTTTGTTTTGAACAGAGGAATTTTGAGTCTAGAAGACTGTTCCCCTGGGTCTGTGAGAGTCTTTTGTGTGAGTTGCTCCTTGATGTGCAGATAAGGCTGTTCTCACCCCTGGAGATGTCAGTTGGCAGGAAGGCAGGGAGGCTCAAAAAATCTCTCCTTCTTGTTCAGCAATGAAGCTTATATTTCCAAAATCAGATAAAATATGCATCTTCCATGTTTCAGGGATGTATTTGTATTTCAGGGATGTATTCCCCTGTAGAAAATGTAATTTATTTTCTACCTAAGAGGATGTTTACCATCTTGGATTTGTCCTCAGCCTGAAGAAGGGTGTATGCGCCTGAAAGCTTGCAAAGAAAGATTTTTTTTTTGCGATTTCTTAGTTGGTCTAATAAAATGTATCCTCTCTGAACCAAGAGTTCTAGAGTTTTGCATTTCTTTTTGTCTCAGACCAACATAGCTACCAAATAAAACACAAGGAGCATTCACTAAGAGGGATCTTAGTGAGCATCTTAAGAACTGTGGCAGAGCACCTTTCAGTGCCTGCCACTTTAAGGGTGAGAGCAGACAGCAGAGCAACCAGCAGGTGTGGGCCAGCCTTGATGAGAAAGTCACATGACTGCAGGCCAGACCATGTGAGGAGAGGGCTGAGCAACTTCCATTATAGCTCAGGCCTCAGGGCTAAGCCAGCAGTCTGCTGCTGGCAGCCAGGGAGCAACAACACCTGGTTGAGCTGCTGCTCCGAACACCTTGGTGGTAAAGGAGGAACTATGGGGTTGGTTCCTAAGGGCCCAGTGAGGTCCCAAGCCCCAGAGAGAAGGCTTTGGGCCTAAAGAGAACAAGGCCCAACCTGAGAAGGGGCTTATAGTTGTGGGCCTACACAGGGGCTAGGCAAGCCCCTGATTTAGAACAGGCAGGGGTGAGGCCTGGGGCTCAGGTGAGCCAGATTGAGACTAGAGCTATGTTATTAAGATCCCTAGGGTGCTACATAAGCCCAGTATGAGATGGCTATATGGTGGGGGCCAGAAGGGGAACCTTGCTACCTAAGGAAGTCAGTGGCTGCGGTGCTAGGACCAGAGCACCTCAGGTGGTCAATGCAAGAGGGCAAGGGCCAGAAGGCCAAAGGGCAATGAAGCCCAAATGAAGCCCGGGGCAGGCCTGGGCCATGATGGGCTATCTGACACCCCGACTGGGCTGGAGATGGGGCCAGAGCCTAAGGAGGCTTATGGTCCCCTCGATGGGGGGACGTAATTGTCTAGAGGAAGAATGGCTCAGCGAGACAGCAGGCTGAAATGAAGGAGGCTGAAACTCAGTCTTTGGATGGGAGGCATCCAAGGAGGGATTTGGAGAGTTGGGCCAGTGAGAGGCAGCCAGCAGCAGTCCAGGAACAACAAATAGCCTAGTAGGGATAAGACCAAGTCAGGTAGGCCTGCACTGGTTCTGGGTAAGACTGAAAACTGCACCCTGCCAGGGAAGGGTGGTCTGGTGGGGCTGTCTGTGGCAGAACAATCCCCCAGAAATGCCAGGCCAGTTACCTCCCCAGTGAAAGGCAGGTAGGGGCACCTTAAAACCTCAGCCCCCACATCCTGGTGGGTTACCCACACCTAGGAACAGACACAGGGGCCAAGCACATCTCTGGACACATGTGGAAGGCCCTAGTGAGAGGGCATATGTGAAAGTGAAGGCCCTAGCAAGAGGGCCCTAGTAGGAGGGCATAAGTTAAAGCCCCAGGAAGGTGGCAGATAGGCCAGGTAAATCTATGAACACCTGAGGCTGCAGTTGGGCCAGAGGCTGAGACCCCAGTAAGTCCTCAGATGTGGTAAGGCTGAGTTTGGGTCAGAAGTGAAGAAGTTTGCATGAACAGCTGGCCCTAATGAGGGGGTGAGAGTGATGAGTTACCCAGAGAGGGGCATGTGTCAGAGCTCTGCCAAGGGCAAGATGAATTAGCTGGTCACTGTTCAGATGAGGGTCGCAAGAGGGCCTAAGAGATTGCGTGCCTGCAAGCCAAGGAGTGAGAGTAGGCAGGCCTGATGACCTACATGGTCACTCAAGAAAGCAGGGCAGGTTCGGTGTGGCCCAGTGAGGGGCAGCATGTAAAAGGCCCGGTGAGAGACAGCAGAGTGGAAGAGGCACCAGTGAGAGGGGGGAAGTATGAATGAGGTCCAAGAGGGCAGAGTGAAAGGACAAATGCATGAGGCTAGCAAGGGGCTGAGTTTTGCTCAGCCAAAAGCCACAGCAAAGAGCAACTCAAGGATGCCATCTGCGAGGAATGGAACACAATAAGGGGAGGTCAGAGTCTTGTATAGTGTCCCCGGGCATCAAGGCAGTAAAATGGGTAGCCTCCTGTATGTATACACCAGTTTTGGGGACAGCAAGTTGTGGCAGGCAAGACTGGGCGAACTTCCCTACTTAGACAGGCAGGCGGGCCAAGGTTGAGACCCAGCCCCGAGATGGCTCCCTGTCACAGGAACATATGTCAGGCCAACTGGCTTAGTCTTCAATACTAAAGTCCAGCCTTTTAAAAAAAAATAAACACGACAGAGAAAAACAGCTGGTATAATAGGGTGGATTATTATTTCATAGCCAATTCCATGGCCAAGATTTGACTTCTTTCCACTTACTATACAAAACAAACTGTGTGGCTAAATTCTATAGCAGTGCTTTCCAGCAGTATTATCTTAATGGACTTTGAGACACATTCATTGGCAAGGAGTTGTTAATAGTTATCTCCTGCTGAGCCTGGCATCGCACCATTGCCAAGATTGATCTCCGGAACCTAGAATGAGGGTGAGAGGAGGCAAAAATTCAAGTCACTGGATAGACAGTAAAAGAAGCAAATGCAGAGGAAAATTTAGGCCAATTGATTGAAATAACTGTGCTAAGATAATACCACTTTCCATTTTAATGTAGTAATTAAATTAAAAAGCCATGCCTTTGGAATTCAGTGAGTCTTGACTCTCTTCTTATCCCAGCATAAATCAGTACATCATTCTGAAATCATCAGAAGGGGAAGGCTCCTGCCCACTGAGTTTTGTTAAAATTACCTCACACCCCACTCTTTTCTTGGACAAACTCATTTTTCATTGACCTGCCTCAGGAATTCAGATCCCTAAACCAGGACATATTAAATATCCCATTTTATTCTATGCTTTAGGGTTGTTGGTTATAGCCATGTTGGTCTAAGGACATAGGCAGACAAGGTTCTTTGGGTAGATGTGGTATCTTTTATTAGACCAACTAAATAGTTGGAAAAAATGTTCTTTGCAAGTTTTTGGGCACAAACACCCTTCTTCAGGCATATAGAAAGTCTGCTGGTGACTTGTGTGCCCTCCTGGGTAGAATACAAGCCAAAATGCAAAATTCAGGTCTGTAAAAATGCAAATGTGTGGCAGTGAGGATCGGAGGGGTGGAAGACAATAGGTGTGAGACAGGTGGACAGAAGGAAAGGGGAAATGTTAAACTGGTGATAGAAGGATGTAGCTGGTAAAATGCAGACAGGTTACCTGGGGTTATCAGATGGCAGGAAGATATTGAATTTTGCCATTTGAAATGGAAACTTCACAATATGCAGAAGAAAGAAGCCATACTCAACAGCAACATATATTTTCTAAGCCTATGCTGGCACAACATCATTCCTACAACATCACAACATCATTCCCAGAGGACTGAACATCTACAGTCCTCTGACTTCTACACACAACTCTAAATATGCTTCACAACTATGCAGGAGAACATCTGAAAAACTTAGAAGTCATGTCTTTCACATAACCTACTCCAAAAGAAATCAACTCAGGAAGGAAATCAACACATCCTACAACAACTTAAAAGAGATAAATCCAGATATCTTCCCAAACATTACACAACATATACAAAAAGACTACCAAAGATGTTTTACAACATCCATCCAAAATAAAAAGAAGAAATGGAACCACGGGAACAACTTTTCCATCCATTAAACAACCATCAGAGAAACACCACCAATACCATACAACATTCCAAGCTCATACCTGATGAATCTGAAGGAACAAGTCAACCCTCAAATATTATCAATTTCTCCATGCACACTTACCAAAGCTGAAAAAAAATCTGTCCTCTCTAAACGTCTTAAGTTTTGTCTGGAAAAATACCCTAATAATATAGTACAATGTGAAGAACTAGAAGATTTTTTCCAAAGCCTCTGTCTCAAGGAATATTTCCACAACCAAAAGAAATCCACTTGCAACAACACTTCATCCTGTGACAACATCAAGGAAAATTTTAACACCAAAAATTTAAAAAAACCATCAAATCGGACACCTCACAGTGGTCAAAATTCAAACCTCAACTGCTATATTGACTGCTTCAGGGAAAGAATGAACAATTAAATTATCAACAACAAACACCACCACAACAACCTCTCCTTCTCAGAGAGAAGGGTCATAGAATCTCTAAAATCCAACTGCCAAATAGTAATAAAACTAGCAGATAAAGGAGGAGATATAGTTATCCTTAACCATGAAGACTACATCAAAGAAGCCAAAAGACAACTCTCTGACACCACCTACTATGAAAAACTAGAGGAAGATCCAACTCCCCTGTTCACCTTAAAACTCAAAACCACCATCAACATTTCCATCTGAGCTACAAGAAAAACTACAAAACTTGATCCCCCCACTACCCAATCCAGGGACTTTTTACATGCTCCCTAAAATCCACAAACAAGGAAATTCAGGCAGACCTATCATATCAAACCATGGATATGAGGAAATATCAGGTTTCATCGAATCCATCCTAAAACCTCTTGTCGCCCAAAGACCGAGTTTTGTCCAAGACACAACAGACTTTCTATGAAAACTTAAAAACATAGATCACCTTCCCTGCTACACCGTCCTAGCCACCAGGGGTGTTACCAGCTTATATAACAACATCCCACATGAGGATGGCATGCAATCCTGCCTTAGATATCTACAAGAGCAAGATTACAACTCAGAGTACAGACCTAAAGATATTAGTTAACTTATACACTTCATCCTCACACACAACAACCTCAGTTCCATAACTTCCTCCAGACCAAGAGGAAGTGCTAGGCTTCAGAAAGGCTAACTTCAATGAGCTCAGGAGATTAGTAAGTAAGGCACTGAAGGACAAGAGCACTGATGAGATGGGAGTCCAGGAAGAGTGGTTGTTCCTCAAGGGAACAATCCTTCAGGCACAGAAGGGGACAATCTCACTTTACATAAAAGGGGCAAAAGGGCCAAGAAACCCTCTTGGCTGAACAGGGAAATCCAGGAAAGCCTAGGGATGAAAAAAGAGGCTTTCAGACTGTGGAAGGAGGTTATAGCCACCAAGGAGGAGTATATTTACTTGGCTCACACTTGCAGGGAGTCATTTAGAAAGGCCAAAGCAGCAATAGAACTCAGGCTGGCAACAAAAAATAAAATCAACAAAAAGTCCTTCTTAAGGTATATAATATAGGGAGCAAAAAGAAGGCATATGTTAACATAGGACTCCTACAGGACAGACTAGGGCAATTGGTGACAAATAAAGGGGACAAAGCTGAGCTCTTCAATGAGTTTGTTTACTTCTGTATTCCTGAACATGGATCAAGACAAATCTTCCAAATGGACTACAGGCAGGCACAGGAAGGACTCCAACCCACCAAGAGTTAGCACTGACCTAGTAAAGGGACACTTGAAGGCGCTGGATGTGTTTAAGTCAGCAGGCCCAAATGATCTTCATCCAAGGGTGCTAAAGGAATTGGCCAGTGTAATAGCAGAACCATTGGCATGACTGTTTAAACACTTGTGGTGCTCAGGACAAGTCTCAGAGGACTGGAAAAGGGCCAATGTGGTCCCTATTTTCAAGAACGGGAGGAAGGAGGATCTGAATAACTGTAGGCCGGTTAGTCTCACCTATATCCTTGGGGAAAACCTCTGAAAAAATGATTAAGGATTACATTTGTGGGAGTCCAGCAGGAAAAATAATGCTGAAGGGCAACCAGCATGGATTCATAGTAGGTAGATCCTGCCTAACTAATCTTGTTTCTTTTTACAACCAGGTCACAAAATGTTTAGATGCAGGAGTTGAGGTTCATGTCATTTACTTGGATATTAAAAAGGCTTTAATAAGGTGACTCATCCCATTCTTATAAATAAACTAAGCGATTGTGATGTAGATGATTACCTGGTCAGGTGGGTGGCAAATTGGTGTAAGGGATGCACCCAGAGAGTGGTGGTGGACAGGTCAATATTGACCTGGAAAGATATGGGCAGTGGGGCCCCCCAAGGTTCAGTCCTTGGACCACTGCTACTCAATATCTTCATCAGTGACCTGGATGAGGGCATGGAAAGCACTCTGTCCAAATTTGCAGATGACACCAAACTATGAGGCAAAGTAAACAGGTTGGAAAAGTGGACAGAACAGAATAGGCTGCAGTTTAACAAAGATAAGTGCAAAGTGCTGCATCTAGAGAGAAGGAATCTCCAACACACTTACAGATTGGGAGGTGACTTCCTAAGCAGCACAGCAGGAGAAAGGGATCTCGGACTCATAGTCAACTCCAAGATGAACATACATCGTCAATGTGACAAAGTGATTAGTAAAGCTAACTGCACTCCATCATGCATTAGCAGGTGCATCATGAACAGGTCTAGGGAGATGATATTTCCCCTCTATGCAGCATTGGTAAGGCCACAGCTGGAATACTGTGTTCAGTTTTGGGTGCTGCACTTCAAGAGGGATGTGGAAAGCCTTGAGAGGGTCCAGAGGAGATCTACTCAGATGTTTAGGGGTCTGCTGGCAAGGTCCTATAAGGAGAGATTGAGGGACCTGGATCTCTTCAGCCTCCGCAAGAGAAGGCTGAGAGGGAATCTAGTGGCCATCTACAAATTCATCAGTGGGGACAGCAAGGAATAGGACATATTCTGTTTACCAGGGCACCCCTTGGAGTTGCTAGAAACAATGGCCACAAACTGACAGAGAGCAGATTTAGATTAGACATCAGGAAGAACTTCTTTACAATAAGGGTTACCAGAAGCTGGAAAGGGCTTCCAAGGGAAGTGGTACTCTCCCCTACCTTGGAGGTCTTTAAAAGGAGACTGGACAAACACCTGGCTGGGGTCACCTGACCCCAGCGCTCTTTCCTGCCCAGGGCAGGGGGTCGGACTTGATGATCTACTAAGGTCCCTTTTGACCCTAAACATCTATGAAATCTATGACCATGGGCACAGCTATGGGCACCAAATGACCACACAATATGCCAATCTTTTTATGACCCACCAGGAAGAAGAATTCCTCAAGAACTGCACCATCAAAACCATGCTATAACTAAGATATATAGATAATTTCTTCATCATTTGGACCAAAAACCTGCAGTCTCTGATTGATTTCCATCACAAATTCATTAACCATCACCCCTCCATCAGACTCTCTCTTGAATACTTCAGCACCGACATTTCCTTTTTAGACACTATGACCAATATCCAGAATGGTAAAATACAAACCACCATATATAAGAAATCCACAGACCAACATACATATCCACACCGAACCAGCAATAACCCTAAACACACCAAGAAAGCTGTAATATACACCCAAGCCCTCTGATACCACCAAATTTACACTGAGAAGAATACCCATGACCGTCACCTTGCTAATCTCAAAAGGGCTTTTGCCCAACAAGGACACTTTTCCAGAGATATAGATTGTACTGTCGAAAGAGTCACTCAGATACCACATGAAGAACTGCTGCAGAACAAAAAGAAACTCCCCACAAATCACACACCACTAGTTATGACATACCATCCTTCCCTGGACCCTATACAGAAAATCCTCAAACAACTGTAATTCATACAAGAAGAAGACCCAATTCTTAAAGAGATCTTTCCAGAACCACCCATCCTAGCCTTTAAACAAGCACCAAACGTTGCCAACCTCATCACCAGAAGCAAACTTCCTATGGCCCAAAGCACACTGAATGGATCCAGACCATGCTGGGACAAAAAATGTAAAACCTGCCAACACCTCTTCACCACCCCCACAATAACTACACCTCAGAACAGAACCATCACCATTCCTGGATCTTACACCATTTCTGGAACTTATACCTCCAGAAATGTAATATATCTCAACCAGCGCACTAAATGCTCTGATGGAAAATATGTAGGAGAAACCAAACAACAACTGCATACCAGAATGAACACACACCAAAAATCTATCAGACAAAAATACCAAATTATCTGTAGGTGCATACTTCTCATAAGACAACCACTCTCTCTCCAATCTCTCTGTTCCAGTCCTCAAAGGGAATTTAGAAAACACTAGGGCTGTGCGAAATTTCGCCAACTGTTTCGTTTCAATGCTATTTCAACTTGTTTTGAGTTTTGAAGCTAAAGCTGGGCTTGCCTGCAGGGAAACAGGAAGTAAGGAGAGGGAGGGGGAAGAGGGGGGAAGGACTGCTCTGATACTGACTGTGACAGTTTGGCTGCCTGAGATGCTGCTGATTCTACTGTGCTGCTTACTAAGTTATTACCTGTTGTCATTTAAAGTGGCAGACTGGACTGAGGCTGTAGGGGAGGAGGAGACCTCATTGGGGCACACTACTGTGTCATGTAGAGGCCCCAGCATCAGTGAAGGCACGCCTTAGCACACACACACAAACACAGTCACACACGTCACGAGTTTTGCTTGTCAGCAGCTTAAGATGCAGTTTCCCACAAGCCCCTGCACCTATCTCCTTGAAACCTGGCAGACTTAATGGCCTCAGAAGGGGCTACCATACTTGCTTTTTTTACCCTGTTGTGCCTTAACAATACACACATGACATGAGTTTTGCTTTCAAGAATTTGAGGTGCAATTTCCCAGAAATCCCTGTGCCTATTTCCTTGAAACTTGGCAGATTTCATGCCCTCAGAAGGATCTACCATCTCTGCTATTTTCATCCAAATCTGCCAAAAAATGACAAAGTTATAGGCAGTTTCATGCTTTCCCATTATAGCCTATGGGTGAAACAGCGAAACAGTTTTGACCAAACGAAATGGAACAGTGCTTTCAAAACAAAATGAAACTTGAAACAAAATGCTGTCCAGTCGAAACAGCAAAACAGAAGTTAAAACTAAATGGTGCTGTTTCGCACAGCCCTACAAAACATCTTTTGTAGATGAGCCTATGAACTTCACTTCATAAATCTACTGAATACAAAAAAAACATGGACTAAATATAGACAATGGATTTATAGCACATTATAACCTGCCTGCCCTCTGATAACCCCAAGTAACCTGTCTATATTTTACCAACAACAGTCTTCTATCACAAAAGAACCTTGTCTGCCATTTTATTCCCTGCTTTCCTCTGCCGCCTCCCCTCTCCTCCTTTCCACCAGTAGCTAACCATCTTATCTTAGTACAGATCCAAACCCAGAGGATGGGAGAAGTGTCAAACTCCATCATCATCTACTGAGCCCTCTTCTGTCTGGGTATCTCAAGACCTGCTGGCAATTTATGGGTAGGGAATAAAAAGGTACCTTTCTTTACAACATTTGTATTTCTAACTTACAGGCCCTGAATGTGTTCATGAGCCTTAGGTATTTACCCAAATCATCATCCTTAGGCAATAAAATACTCATACTCAAGCAATGGTAGCAGTAGAAACAGTTGTTCCATACTACAATTCTCAAGCCGTGGTAGAAAGAGGAGGTAGCTGTGACTTGTCGGTATGCATTAATTAAGATTCTCAAGCCTCCCTACCAATCCAGATTGCAAATCCCAAATCAACCAAAGATACCCCTGAGACTTATGGGCTATACATTTTTGCCACTTTTATTAAATGTAAACAGTTCTATATTCTGATGGGACTAAAATTCCAGCCCAAATCTATCTTAGTAGAAGACATGATTTAAAAGTGTTTATAAAATGACAGTGCTGCTCCAGTTTGAAAAAAATCACTGAAATGTCTCTCTATTTCAAGCACACAATGGTGTGCTTCAACTCCCTTCTTTTTAAAGAAGGACATCTACCCATCCAAGATAAGGCAGCAGTAGTTTATCTTTGTAAAAATATTTTCTTCTGGAATCATACAGCTGGAAAGGATTTCAAGGGTCATCTAGTCTAATTCTTTCACAGGTGGGGGGAGAAGGGGCTGCTGTATCATACCATCCTCGAACGGTGGCATATATAGCCACCTTTTAAAACTTACAGTGAAGGTGATTCTGTCATTTCTCAGGGCAGTTTGTACTAGTACCTAGCTGCTCTGACATTTCAGAAGTTTTTCCTGAGGTTTAACCTGAGCCTGCCTTCCTGTAGTTTGACCCATCGTTTTAAAAAAGAAGGAATGCTAGGTGCAGCGACAGAACCTTGCATACCCACCTCTCAGATAAACAACAAAAACCCAGAGAGCCTATAGGCTCCCATATTCTGACTTACATTAGATTTTTATGCACAGCTATAATGTACAATAATTATAAGGCAAATGCAGCATTTCAATTAAAAAAGAGAACACTTACCTTTTGTTTGCAATGACATAAATACAGGGATTATAGAATGTTGAGGACTTTGCAAACAGAGGTGCTATGATGGCCATCACAGGGGAAATTTTCTTTGGGTCTCCAAAGGAAGACCATAAGCATACAATGGAATATGGAGACCAAGCCACCAAAAACATTATGATCATCACAACAGACATCTGTGAAATAAAAGAAGACATTTCATAAGCCTAAATATTCATACCTATTATACACACACATAGATCTATAAAGAGCAAAATGAAGACCCCATCACTTCAGTACATCCACACCTTAAAATGCAACTACTCTAAGATATATGCAATATATTTAAAAAACAAGCAAACAAAGCAGCCCTAACTTTAAAGGGATGAACTGAGTCTCTCTGTCTTGTGAAGAACTTAAGAGTTACATGCTGCTAAACATTGTGATGTATCAACACTTCTCATACTTCTCACAGTGACAAGCAGAACTGCCAATTTCATTGGTGTTTGACAAAGAGAAAAAAAATATTTCAAGCTTGACTGCACACCAGTGGCAGGACCACTGACATCAAATTATAATCCCTTACATTGCTTTAGCTGGAAAGCAGAGCAGTGTGGCAAGTTATAGACTAGCTCATTCCACAAGGCATTGCTTTAGCTGTATAATATAACATATATTTGAACACTTCTGATTCCATCCAGCAGAGGATGGCTGTCTGTATCCAGGAAAAAATAAATTAAATACTTGAAAATATCATCTCATACAAGGAATGTATGAACTTGAACATGGAACATAGTACTGTAGCTACTACTTAGCTGACTTCATTGCTAATGCTTAAAGAGAAACCATCCTGAATTATTTTTCTTAATCTTAACCTGCTAAAGAAAATGACTACAACAATACATTATATCATTAGAAAAAGAATGGCAAAGTTTGTAAACTTTGTCTTGAAATGCTAATAGAGATTGTGGGTGCAGGAGTAAAACAGGGAGCTTGTCTTGAACTAGATAGAATGAGAAAACTCTCAAATCTCCCATGCTGTTTCTATCACCACTAAATTATACCTTTGCACTTAAAGCAGTTGTAGTACTAATCTTCGGGGTGTGTGAACAGCTGTGTTTTGATTCGGTTTCAGATTCAGCCATTTCAGAAGACAGTGATTCATTTTGGTGTTTTGAATCACTGTCCTGTTTCGTTTCTACCGAATCTCCTCCGAATCTGTTTTGAACGGGCTGAAAAGGAAGCTCTGCACAGCTCTACCTAGCAAGGCAGGGCTTGAGGCCAGGGGCTGCAGGGCCCCAGCAGGGAGCAGGAAGGGGCTGTGGGTGGCTCGCCCACAGGGGGCAAGGGCAAAGGCCACTGCCCTCCAGGCAGACAAGGAGGTGCAGATCTCTGATCCCGTCACGCCAGGTCGCAGGGCAGGGAAGCAGTGCAGAGCAGTGAGAAAGCCTGCTGGTTCCTGCTGCGCGACTCAGCTCCTCAGGGAGCAGAGATCTGCGCTGGGGGTCTCCTCACCACCTCTGCCCACCCTGTGCCCCACCCATGAGGTGGGGCAGTGCGGGGCGGGCAGTGGTGGTAAGGAGACCCCAGCATGGATCTCTGCTCTCTGCGGAGCCAGCTCACGTGGCAGGGATTCCCCAGCCCCCAGTTTGGTTCCCCCACCCCCAGTTTGATTCCCCAGCTCTCTGATCATTCCCCCAGTTCTTTCTGGGGGGCATGGGCCCCCAGATCTGTGCGCTGGGTTTCAGCAGGCCAGCTGGGGTCAGAGGCCAGAGGCAGCACCACAGTCTTCTCGGCACGGGCTGCACTGAACAGCTACCGCTGGCCCCAGCCTGCAGAGGCAGCCTGCTGAAACCCCATGCACAGATTAGGAGCCTGCACCCTGCAGGAAGAGCTAGGGAACTGATCAGAAAGCTAAGGAGTCGAACCGAGAGCTAGATGTCAATATCAGAGGAGTCTTTCCCCTCCTTCTTCTTATTTTTATTTCCATGCAAGCCCAGCTCCGAAACTCTGAAATTCTCCAAAACATTTCCAAAATGTTTCAGAGCCTTCCAATTCATTTCAGAGCTGTTATGGAGCCTTCTGTTTCGAATCAGGTTCGGTGTTTCGGCTGCCGAAATGGCCCAAAACACCTCCAAAACAAAACAGCTGCTGAAATTTTGCACAGCCCTAACTAATCTGTCTGTAAACTGTTAGATATTTATAACAAAGAATGTCAATTTCCTGGCAGGGTCCAGTATTTCATCATAACTTATGTTTGCAAATGTTTCGGGGGAAGAGCCAAGCTCCCCATTCAATTTTTGAAATACAAAGACGGAGAACTTTATGGAAGCTTGATTAAAGGGATATGAAGCTCTTCATATCTAGAGCACCAGTTCAGATCTGAAGTGGTTGCTGTGAACCCATCCAAAAAACTAAGGAGTTTACAGGCTTGGAAACTAACCTCTTCTCCCTTAGGTTAGGGGCAGACATTACACATAAACCAATTTAAGTGATCAGAAACTGGTTTAAACCTGTAACAGAACATAAGTTCAGTGCACATAAACTAGTTTCAAAATGGCTGAAACTGGTTTAAGATAAAGCTGGTTGAATGTAGTATCAGACTTAACTGATTTGGGTCAAAGAATCATGAACCAAAAAGATGACAAAGTCAGTAGAGAAATACAGAGCATCTGAGCAAGGGACTAACATAAGAGGGATGGGGGTGAGGAGGGGAATGCAACTAGGTTGCAGAAAATACAATGTTAGCCAACTAAGCCCAGGGTTGGGGGGGAGGGAGGGGAGGAAGTGGAGGGAGAGGTCAGACTTAACTGATTTGGGTGAAACCAGTTTATGCAATGTCTGTCCCAAACCCCTTTCTGGTTTAAGTTAAACCAGAGTCTCCCAGCATCCCAGATGCTTTACAGCCCTGGGTTGTGCTGTCTGTTCCAGAGAACAGAGCTGGCCCTGCCTCTCTGCTCTCTAGCCAGAGCTCTGGCAGAGATTGCAGGCACAGCAGGGTCTGCCTTGCTTCCCCCTGCCACAGCCCCCTGGCCCCTGTTGCTCAGTGTTCAAGCAGAGATCCCCCCACTCCCATCTCCCATAGCATGGACCCCAGCCCCATGGACCCTAGGCATGTAGTATGCTAGCTAATGCTGAGAGGTGTCTGTGTGTGTGTGTGCATCTCCAATTTCACTGGGACCGGTAGACAGAACGGTGTCTACTTAAGGCATGTTGGAGCTAATCAACAGGTCAGCTGGTAATGTTCCTCCATTCCTTCCTTGGAAAAAGCTGTTTAAGGAGAGCTTGAACTAATGAGAGAGGCTTTCATTGATGGGCTGATAAACACTGTGTTATCAGCCCCCTGCTGGCTCCCTTACCTGTCAGGTTTGCAGACAGTATGAAGAAGCAGGGAGAGGGAGATTGAAAAGCTCAGTATCATCAACAGATGCATGCACTGCACACCCCCTCTTTGCCTCAGAGTGGTAGCCGAGGGCTAGGGTCTAGCAACACTACCACCCCTTGCTCAGCAAGCGGGTAAAAAACTGGGATGATACAGACAGGGTAGGGGTTTACATCCTGCTGGGGCCTGGCCACGCCACCTGTCAGCTCAGCACTGTAGAAGGATAGGGAGGGCTGCTCTAGCACCCCAGCTTCTAGCCTGAGCCACTGCAAGCATGTGCCTACATTTCTTTAGTCCATACTGTAGAATCTCTGTGCAGTTGCAAACCAGTTCAACCTAGGCAGGTTAGACTAACCTGCAAAGATTGACTCAATTCAGGCTCAGGCTTTTTGAATGTCTATCCTTAGCCTTAAAGTTTGGCCGTGAGTTGCCACTACTGAGATACAATGCTGGACAGTGCAGAAAAGTGTATAATGTTCCTGGGCAATGGTAGAGTCAACTGTGTGGGAAAAAGTAGCATATTAAAAATTATTTTAGAAATAAAAATAAAGGGGGGTGGGATATAACATTGTCAATCCAGCATTTTTCAAGAACACTATGTTTATTCAAATAAAAAGGAAGAGGGGAGAGAGGATGGAAAGCTTCCTTTGTTAATATGATACAGTGTACGTTACAGAAAAACATATTTGAAAGGTAACATGGCCCAGATCACCATACCTTTGTTACATCTACTTGATCAGACCAATCTATATTGATACTCTCCAGGCAGTTACTGGCAGTGTATTGTTTCATTGTTCGAGAAACGTTGAAGTAGCAGTAAAACATGACTGAGAGAGGCACAACAAAATTTACAGTGATTACAGTCATGGTGTAAGAAACAAAGGACCTGTAAGACAAAATATTAATATAAAAAATTGCAACCATACAGCTGTGAAAAGTAATTGAAAACTACCTTGTTTTAGTGTAAGATTTATGTGGCAATCTGCAAAATGTTTTCAAAGGGTGAGGACAATTCCTTTGGCTTGTTTAGTTTTATTAGTGCCAATGACACCTACTTTTACAGTGCCTCACCTTTTCCAAAATAAATCCTTACAACTTTTTCTAATTATTATAGGTTACTTCAATCCTATTTCTAAGATGCCTGTGCCTTTTACTCATTCTTACTTTGGGGAGGAAATGCTTACTGAAGCGGGGATACAGATAAGTGGTATTTTATATATAAAAGTAAAAAAAAAGTTTTTAAAATCTTACGCATCATTTTTCCTCCAATTGATTGTGCAGGTGGCTCCAGTGGGGTCTGGAGCATAGCTAGACCAACCTACAATAGGCATTGAGGCCCAGAAAACTGCATTTACCCAAGCAGCAAGGATCAGCATGGTATAGGTGTGGGTAGTCATTCTTCTTCCTGTTACCAAGCACAGATATCTCTTTTAAACAACTATTATTTTGATTTTTCTGACATTTATCATGAACCCACAATGTGCCCAACCAATCTACATATGTTGAAAGCACTACTAATAACCATTAATAATTACTAAGTCCACACTAAGTAGAAAAGTTCTTCTGTGTCACAGATAAATACCATGTAAGCACCCCCAGAAACAGTGCTTGAGTGCTACTTAGTTCTGTCACCCTGCTCCCACGCAAAACTTATCAAGGGGAGGGCAGATGTTTCTGATCCCATGCAAAAGAAAATGTACACGAGGAATTAGAAACCATGATCTTAGACCTGTAATATAAAGGATCAGACAAACTACAGTACAGAAAACATGCACACATATACATTAGACATGTATGTCCATTGAGATATTGTCAGAAACCTGCTGCAAGCAGTCCTCGTTTGCTTTGGTAGCTATGAAGGCATGTAATTAATCAACAATCAAAGCTTCTAATGATTAGTCGTAGCACATCAAAATGCAGGTTTCAGACTGACTAAGGCAGAAGGCAACAGAAGACCCTGATTCTGCAACCTTTACTTAGTACCACAGAAGTCACTGGGACCTTTCACAAGGCTAATTACTGCAGGAAAATACCCAAAGTTTAGAAGCATTGGTAGGAATTGACCTAGGCACTCACACAAGGAACTATACAGATTCTTGAATATGCTAAAAGATGTCAACTGATAAATTATTTCCACAAGTACTGTACCTATATTAGGCCTGCAGATTGTCAGGTAGCGATCAATTGCAACAACAGTAAGCAAACCAATACTTGCCATTCCAAAGAAGATATTTAAGGCAGCATAGATCTGAAATTTAAGAAGATAACATACCCATTTGTATAAATGCTTCTAAAAGTTTCAGTCTAAATCAGAGTCTGTGTTAAGAATTCAGCTGAATACAGCATATGTTCTGTGACCAATTTGTTTAATGCATTATTAATAATTTAGAGTTGGTTAATTAAAATTAAAGATTTTAAGATAAATGGGGTTGTAATCAAAAGACTGAAAAAATAAGACTGTTTAATGTTAACACATGCATTTTTGAAATCCTGGGACGAAAGTTTTACAGAAAGGAAAAGATTTGTATTTTGTTTTAACTAACACTATTTGATAGATGTTAATAATTCACCAGCAACATTTTATTTTAACAACTGCAGAAATTGTAACAGAACCACAGGGCATTCTACTGTCTCAGATCACAGGACTTCTTTACCTTAGTTGTGCTTCAAATAATCCCTAAGACCACAAAAGTAAAGCACAGCTGAAGTTGTCAGATATGAATCCCAACTTCAGCACAAAAATATATGACAATATAGATCCAAACAAAGTGGACTCAGGTTGGCTGCTACAAAAGGTCTAAATTAGGTGTATGAAATTAACTTTTCAAATTTAATTTACTTAGGAGTGTGTCATTTCAGATCACATAGTAAGCATACTTAAAATGGGCCCAGGTCATGCAGTCCTGTTAGAGTTTTGCCTAAAAAAAAGATTTCAGGGTATGTATTTCATAGTACTGTTCTAAGCATCTCCTGGTCATCCTAACTCAAAAATCCTTTTTTTTTTTTAATCATATTTTGATCACTACTCACACAGTTAACAAACAAGCTTATGCGAAAAGTGAAAATTCAAAAACTCTGAAATAAGATACCTATTAGGGGTGTGCAAAACAGGCCACATTCAATTCGGATTCGGCCCAAATCAGGGGACAGTGATTCGATTAGTTGATTTGGATCACTGTCCCGATTCGATCTGGCCAAATCTGAATCTGAAGATTCAATGCTGATTCAGAGAATCAGTGATTCAGGCATAGACACCGCTTTAAATGTTTTTTCTACGTACCTTGAGGACCAGGCACCGCTTGTGAATGCTTAGATGGTGGGGCAGACGGAGCATCCCACAGAAGCACAGTGGGGCCCCCCCACATGCTCAGTGGTAGACCTGGAACTAGACTGGAAGTACTTCTGATCCACTTCTAGGTCCGCCATCAAGTGTGCTAAATGCACCCCCCCCCATGCCCTCCTGGCTTGGCAATCAGCTGCAGGGGGAGGGGGCGCACCACATGCTCCGCAGTGGATCCAGAAGTGGACCAGAACTGCTTCTGGTCCACTTCTGGGTCTGCCGCCGAGCACTCTGGGGACCCCCCACATTCCTGTGGGATGCTCCATCCGCCCCAGCATCATAGCATTCACGAGCCGCCTGGTACCTTGAGGTATGTAGAAAAAACATTTAAAGCTGCGTCTGAATCATCAAATCTCTCTGAATCTCTCCGAATTGATTCAGAGAGATTAAAGGGTCTCCTGATTCAATTCAGATTTGGGCTGAATCTCCACCCAATCGAGTCAGCGACCAAAGCTTCTCATAGCCCTAATGCCTATTTCTTTGAATTCTTTGCATGATTTTCCCATAACTGATGGGTTTGTGTGCCTCCATTTTACATACTCCAATAAATTCTCATAAAGAATCCTGAATTTCAGAAAACACTGAGCTCTCATACTGTGCAAAAAGGATCTTTTAAGGTACATCAGTATGATAACTGAGAAACCAAGGCACTCAAAATCATTAGACACTTTTGAAAAATCACAGGCACTTATTAATTCTATAATGGCAGGTTATAGGCTTTAGTTTTTTGGTGATATTTAAGAATTGCTTTTTTCACAAATACAAATGCATGCTTCAGTAATCATTCAAAAGTCAAAAAAAATATAAAAAATTGAGATTAGTCCAAACCAAGCCCAACATCCAATATCATTGAACTTTAAGGAAATTCAGATCCAGGTCAGAATCTATACTTTGCCACTCTAGCTCATCTCTGAAGAAAATTAAAACTCAAGAGAAAGGAATCTTTCATATACTCAGGTTCTAAATGCTTAACACTTTCTGCTCTCTGGTTTAATTACCACATTCTCAAATACCTGGCATCCTGTGTTTCCAAATTTCCAACTTCCATGCAGATCTGAAGCAGCAGACATGGGATAACCAATACCACTGACTCCAATGTCTGTAAAGGCTAAGTTAATAATAATTGCATTTGTGGCTGTCCGAAGCTCCTTGTATTTAACAAAGATGCTTAATACAACTATGTTACTGAGAATGCTTATCACTCCTGTGAAATAAAGAAAAATGAGAGCTTTATAAATTATATAAATATTGATTAAATATTAATTAATCAAATATAAACACTGAAGAATTATCTTAATAAAATGCCATTTTGAAAAGATTATATGCAACAGAAAGAAAAGAGCTTTCCTAATATAATGACTCAGCTCTGACTGAGCAAGGAACATAATTTTAAAGAGCCCTAAAGAACGTACTTTAGTATCTTGCTGAATCAGGGACTATACAAAGTCATCAAGTATGGCAACCATTTAGCATTCTCTTAAGATTTGATCTTAAGACCTCAGGTCTGCAGAACTACTCAAAGCAATACTGAGCACAATGTGTTGCTACTAATGAGCCAAAATAATGAAGTGCAATGAAGAGGAGCGCGGGCAGGCTAGCAGAAAAAAAATTGTTTGTTGAACAGCTGGATCTGATACTTTGGCACGAGGTCCAACAGTAGCTTCTATATGAAAAGCCCTTGTACAACCTCACTTCTTGCTCTCCACTAAGGACAGTTTCATTGTGCATTCAAACAAAACAATATTGCTGAGTGACAGAAATGTTCACTTTCTCCTGCTCTCCCCTATGAAAGAATACTTTTGTCTTCCTTTTCTCTGCCCAGTTTCCTGTACAGCACTAGCAGTCACTTTATTTGTACCTCTGTCAACATGAAGTATCTTTGCCCTGTGCTAGATAGTTTTCCATTCTTTGCATACTTCTTACAGAGCTGTTTGGAGTATACTGGTTCTTCAAAGCTGCAGCTAACCCAGGTTTGATCAGATTATATTCATAGAATCACAGAGAATTAGTGGTGGAAGGGACTGCAGGAGGTCATCTAGTCCAACCCCTTGCTCAAAGCAAGACTTCCCAAAAAATATCATCCCAGCCAAGGCTTTATCTAGCTGAGTCTTAAAAACGTCCAAGAATGGAGGTTAGCCTATTCCAGTGCTTACTACCCTCCTAATGTGAGAAGGTTTTTCCTAATATCTAACCTAAATTTCCCTTTTTAAGCTACAACTTGAGACCATTGCTCCTTGTTCTGTCATCTGCCACCACTGAGAACAGTCCAGCTCCATCCTCTTTGGAACTCCCCTTCAGGTAGTTGAAGGCTGCTGTTAAATCCCCCATCTGTCTTCTCCTCTCTTCACTAAATAAGTCCAGTTCACTTAGCCTTTCCTCAGAAGTCATGTGCCCCAGCCCCCAAACCATTTTAGTTGCCCTCTGCTGGACTCTCTCCAACTTGTCCACATCCTTTCTGTAGTGGGGGGCCCAAAACTGGACACAGTGCTCCAGATGTGGCCTCACCAGTGCCAAATAGAGGGGAAGAATCCCTTTCCTTGATCTGCTGGTAACACTCCTACTAATGCAGCCCAATATGCCATTAGCCCTCTTCACAACAAGGACATACTATTGGCTCATATTCAGCTTATTGTCTACTGTAACCCCTGGGTCTACTACTCCCCTCACCCCCCCAGCTTGGAGTAATTTGCAAACTTGCTGAGAGTGCACTCCATCCTATCTTCCAGGTTGCTGATGAAGATATTGAACAAAAACAGCCCCAGGACTGACCCTTGGGGCACTCCACTTGATACCAGCTGTCAACTAGACATAGAGCCATTGATTACTACCCTTTGAGCCCAATGATCCAGTCAGTTTTCTATCCACCCTATGGTCCCCCCTCATTCAATAGCAACTCTCCATTGTACCAGGATTGATGAACTGATGAAACATAGGTTTGGTCAGCAAATGATGGAATCCATGTCCACAAAGAAACATCAAAAGATCCAGTAATTTCAAAACAGCTTTCCCCATATTAAACAGAATTCATAAGCTGTACAGAGATTCCCCAAATAATCATATTCAATAACCAACTGGGCAGAGTCCAGGGCTAAATTAATAAACATTTTTGTGGGAGTCTCCTAAACACCTTGAGATCTTGAGTAAGTTGCAACTCATACTGAAACCATGACCTGATCACAGCTAAAGGACACTGAATTTGTGCCTGTGGAAATGTGGGAAAAGTTTACAATTCCTCAGTTTCTCAATTAAAGTGTAAAAGAAGAAAAAGAAAAGAAATAGTGAGGGGAAAAAACACCCAAACTTTCTAGTCATCAAAGCCAGGGTAGTTTCATAATAAGCATGAGTGAATGACTGTATATTGTGCCTTGATACAGCTAGCAATTCTGAAACAATAGCTTCAACAGAGTTTTAAAACTTAATGAGGTCTTAACTTTGAGTATTAATTACGAACAAGCAAAGTGCTTTTGCATACACAAACTGGGTCATAAAATAGGATGGAGTGAAGACTGAATGTTATGCTATTCACACTGTGAAATGCCTTCTCTGACTTGGGGAAAGAAATGAGATCCCACCTTTGGTTGTTTCTAACTCTTCAGGACCCCAGAACTAGCATAATCATGACCCCTTTATATTCCCAAGTACCTCATTTATTTCTGGACCCACAAGAGCAAAGAACTTCCCTGAAACTTTCTCTGCTGCTCCCTCCTGGATCCAACACTGAATGGGATTCATGATCTTTTGTGGCCTCCATGAGCCTTAGCAGATACTGCTTAACATTTGCAGGCCCTGCCTGGAGAAAGTGTAATGCTAATTTATAATTTAGTGATACTCCCTTACGTAGAAGACTACAGAGGTTGGAAATTAGGAGGTGTTTCCTGAGTCAGATTCATTAGCATGAGACAAATAGTCTATGGAGGTTGCCTGCTACTCCCCAATTATAGTTTGCTGGTTAGTTCTTATTCATTTATTCCTGTGTTTATTGAACCCACTGATCACTACAGAAATAAGCAATATTTACATTTTTAAACATTTTATATTGCTCTGCCATCTCTGCCCATGTTTCCAGGGGGATTGCATGGGGTTTAGAGCAAAGTCCAGCCCAGGAAACAGCCTCACACCAAAAGTGTCAGCACAACTATAAAAACTAAGGCAGGGCACATTTCAAGGGGCGGGACTACTGTTATGGCCCTCAACAGCTCACCAAAACTTGATTAAGCGGCCCTCCAGCCGAAATTATTGCCCACCCCTGATATAGATGCTGCCACTTTGGTCTGCAAGGAATCTTGGGATATTACAGTTAAATTCTGTGATATTTGCCAAGGTCAGGATACCAAGACCTTTTATAAATTTTAATCAAGACTGCCAGAAAAGCTGCTAATACTTATTTGCTTAATGGTAGAGGGAAGAAAACTAAATACAGTTTTTATTTAGCAATAGGCATTAAGAAAATACAATAGAACCCTATTATAATGAGCTGTAAAATACGAGTAACTTAAAAGATTGTAAACTCTATTATGATGTTTTAAATATGAAACATCCAATTTGTTAGTGACACTCCACTGTAATAATAGTAATAATAATAATAAAAATAGTAATGTGTGATATAACAACAACATATTATTACTATTACTACTCTGGCATTATTATTATTGTTAATATGATGATGATGATGATGACGATGATGATTTAGCACTATAGAACTCAGAGGCCCTTGGCTGCCTTCACTATCGTCATCCATTCCTTTCTGTTGTGTACCTTTGTCCTCCAGTAGGCCACTTTTAATTTCTGTAAGTCTGACACTATATCATCTACCTATTGTCATCTTGATCATCCAGACAGCCTTCTCTCCTCTAACACCCTGAGAAGTACTTTGTTGGTGCCAATTACTTCCATTCTTTCAGTGTGGTCCAGACACTGTAGCCATCATACTCTGATTTCCTATGTCAGGATTGGGTCTCTGTGCAACTGATATAGCTCATTATTGGTTTTATGTGCCATTCTTGTCTTATAAGATCAGAATGTGCCCCAAAGATTTTCTGTAAAATCTTTCTTTCAAAATAATCTAGTAATATCTCATTTCTTTGGGAGAGAACCCAAGTTTAACTGTCATAGGTTGTACATGGCCTGACTATGGGTGCCAGTACACACCATGGGGTTTATCTTCATTAAATTAAATAGGTTTATAAAATTTTAACTTGTTTATTTTGGAGCATCGCATCAGTGTTTGCATGCACTAGGTTTTCAAACGAATTAGGCCCACTCCCCGGCCAGCAGCGCAGGAAAGCGGGATGGTCCAGTGCTTCCCCCCAGCTCAGATCCCCCCACCCCATGCCCTGCCACACAGCTGTCAAAGTAGGAAGCCAGCAAACCACACACACACAAAAAAGCAAAAGCAATTCAAAAGGAAAAGCATTTTGAAGGGGTGAACTACAAAAAAAATCACCTTCTGGTGGAAAAAGAGGATCATTATAGGTCTTTGAATGCCTTTGTGTTTGCACACAATGAATGCATGAATGCAATGCTTTAATTTGTGGCAAGCCAAACCAAACTACGCCTGAGGAGTTTTACTTTAATGCACCAGAAAGACTTTTAAAGCATCCAGAAAACCCACTCATGCAAACATTCACAACGTTGCAGCACAAGAAATGGCAAAAAATGTGTTGTGTACAAAGGCCCTATGGTTTTAGAAACTTGAAGCTTAGTTTTCCTTGGGATGAGCTGGGATGACAGGAGCTTGTACAATGCAAAGTAAACTCTATTTACTGCTTCCATTTTTCCTTTAATTTTTTCCTTTATATTGTCAACCTGTGTTCTGACAGAGTCTAAACACAAAGTAGGTCACTTGCTTAAAATGTGTTGTGTATTGTTAGGTGAGGTCCCTGATATACTGCCATCCTATTTACCAGCAGATACCATGTTTTATCCACATTCCCTTATAATCCTATTTTCTCCACTTCCAAGAAAGTTATTCTAATCACAAAAGACTTTATGTTAAGATGTTTCAAAAACTTTTCACCCTCATTTCTACTTTTTGGGGTATCTCAGATTTCCAATAAAATTAAAAATTAAAACAAAACATTTACCACAGTATTAGCCACGCTACATAGTTCATGTTTGTGGATAATGAAGTCGCAGATAATTGATCGCTTAATGGTGACCACAATATCTGCATTTCATTTTTTATCATCGCCTTTATCTGCTTATTAATATAATTAGATTAAAGTGTCAATTATTTGGTGGCAAACCAAATAATATGACCAACATCCTCAATATGTGAACACACACAAATTTACTTTTATAAAGGGGGGTTAGAAATGTGTTGACACTAAAAATCTGTCCATTCCCAATTATGTAAAGACAAAGTAACTATATCATGTAAAAATATAGAAAAATATTTTTCCCCAGTCTCTTTCAGTTCTAGTTCTCAGATATTACTCCTAACAATAAAGTAAAACATTTTCAGACAGAAATATGCAGTTTAGAATGGTGGTGTTTCTTCAATTGAGAGACCAATACTGCAGATCTCTATTCTAACATGTGCATACAGCAAACCCACTTGCAGACCATGGCATGTGGTTTCTTGACTTGGTGTGGACGTGAACAAATGACCTATATTTTAGGGTTGCCAAAACTATCCAATTATCTATAAATGTTTTGCTAGTACTTACTATTAGAGTACATCTGATGTTTCAATAAACATCCACTATCTAGAAATACAATCAACTAGTCTATGAGTATTAACAGAACTACAAAAGAACTTGAAAAAGATTAGAGATGTTTGAACTTTCAGCATTATACAAAAAACCCACATCTACAGTCAATTAAATGTTGAGTAAATATTGACTTTTCTAGTCTCTATTGTAGGTACACTGTAACTTCAGATATATTAGCTGAAAATATTCAGCACTAAATACCACTAAAATTAGCTGAAAAAATGTACTTTAACCTTAAAATATTTTCTAGGAATAACTTACCCTAACTGGTTAAATTGTCAATTAAGTAGACAAAAAGGGGCATATTTTAAAGGCATTACTTTGTAGAATTAAAGCATTGTTTTTTTAAACAAGAGTTATAGCACTGAAATACACTTCATATTACTTTGTATTTGAAAAGGATGTCAGGCCATCCAGGTCTTGTACAAAGCCCATTGCAATCAACAGGATTACACTAACATTGGATCAATGTGTAATGGTTTTCCTAAAATGCATCATAATAAGTGAAACATACAGCTGAAACTAGAATCTGCTCTTCTGTCTAATTAATGACCAGTGCCTTCCCTCTCACTAGCAGTCCAAACCCTTTGCTTAAATCCCCCACACTGGAACTATACATATACTGTGGTGAGCATATCACCAGAGAGAAGCATCAAGATAGCTTCAAGCGTATCACTAAAAAACAAAAAAACAAAAAACCCACCAAGATGAGTCATCCCTGTCCTGTTTTTACCCCTTTTGCAAACTGGCAGAAATTAAATGGTCTCTCCTCTATAATGGCATGTGAGCAGAACACTTAAATAAGCAAACAAATAAATAAAATTCAGCCTTGAGATATATAGCCCTGAATTTTACAGGTTTCTACACATTTTACAGACTTGCTGTTGCTTACCTGTTTGAATTTAAGTAGAAAAACTAAAAGAGCAGAAAATAAATTTTAGGTCGAAAAATTACCGACAGACTCCACACCCACACACACAGAAAGAATTTTAGCAAAATGTTGATACAGAAGAAATACTCAAATTAAATTCCTATGTTAAAATATAACTTGCCAATATCCATACCTGCTGTTATTAAATAAGCGGCAACTATGTTGTGTTCAGTCTGTGTAAAAGCTGAATGAGCTTCATTTTCACTTTCTGAGGAATTGGCCGAATCATTCCAAAACATTTTAGGCAGAAAACTGGGGTACATTCTCCATGGTAATTCTTCAACCACACAAAGAGAGAGAGAGAGAGAGAAAGAGAGAGAGAGATAAACCACAAGACCCTTTCAAGCTAGTTCTATCACTATGAAACAGTCATTAAACAATTACCTTTACCAAAAAAACCCAAACAAACAGCGCTTTTCCCTATTGAGAGGGTCCTATTTCCTAACAGGATTTAATTGGGCTAAAGTGCAAAGGAGGGCACATTCCCAGCCTAGGCAAAGGAAAAGCTTGTTAGCTAAACAAAGACCCGCACAAAACCGTGTGCATTTCCAGCAAGATGCTTATGTTTCATAGTCTTATTGCTAACAAGATTAAGCATCACATGCCTCCAAATGTTTACTTCAAAATTCTTGCACAGTATGTTGGAAAATCCAGACAAGAATTGGCCAGTCAGTTGGTCTTCAGCCTTGCCTGGGATGAATTCTAATGATCAAGAGAAACACACAGTAGAGAATCTAACAAAAAAAAAAAAGCCAGGTACGCCTAAACTACAATCCACCCTTTCAAATCCTTAAGAATTCCTTCTTACAATAACTTTATAGGAGTCTGTTAGTTTGATTTAAATAATCCAGCTACGGTCTAAAATCAGGAACTCAGCTTCCAATTTTCTCAAAAGTGACAAGGGCTGTTGATGTTGGAACACTTCAAAAGTGACTGATTTTCAGAGCAAGCACTCTGTGCTTTATGACAGCTTGACTCCTTTAAGGTGGCTCAAGCTGGACAGTTAAAACTTGAGGTACCCATGCTTACTGCTTATTTCTTCAAAATCTTGGCCACTGTTAATATTTTTTTTTTGTTTTAACATTAAACATTAACATTTAAAATGTATAGCATAAGAGCACTTGGAGCAACCAAACTGAAGTCACTGTTCTGCTAGGGGCTGTACAAATATGCCCCAAAGGGCTTAATATGTAAGCAGTTTCACTCACTACAAAAAATGTTGGTTAAATGGGGCATTTACCACCACATTTCCCTCCTAAAAATAATTTGCCTTTGTTTTTGCGCAGCTGAACAAATACTATAGCAGATTCTGGATCACCAAGCTGTCAGCTTGTGTGCTGTAGAGCAAGGGGAGGTCACACATGGAGCTTGTGGATATGGCTCATCACTGGTGGCTGCAGTGGCAGCCTTAATCCCCTCTGGTTTGATGCTCACAGATCATCAGACCCATGGAAAACCTCACAGTCTGGAACTGGCCTGTGAAAAGGCCCACAGTCCAGTTCCAATCCATGGGGCCCAAGTTTGACACCCCTGCTCTGGAAACAAGAGATTCATTTTATTTACACTCATTTTATAACACACTTAAAAGACTACTTGTATGCTGAAATGGTATTTCTTTTAGAATTTTCACCATGGCCTTGGACACATGTACCACTCCAGCACTACTACGTTGATTGCCAACAACGACTAGTGCCCGAGCACTTTGTAGCACTACGAAAATTAAAATGCTATCACACAGTCACTGCAAAGGGATATTCTCCAGCTAGAAAGTGATCATAGTATCATAGAACCATAGTAGCTAGGGTCAGGAGGGACCTGAACAGATCATCTAGCCTGATCCCCTGCCACAGGCAGGAATGAAGGCTGGGTTCACAAGACCCCAGACAGGTGACTGTCCAACCTCCTCTTGAATATGCGAGGACCACCTCCCTGGGAAGTTGGTTCCAGATTTTGGCCACCCTAACTGTAAAATATTGCCTTTGATCTCCAACCTAAATTTATTCTCCATCAGCTTATGACCATTGTTCCTCGTCACCCCAGGTGGTGCTGGGGAGAAAAGAGCTCTGCCTATTTGCTGTTGATCCCCCCTGATGAGCTTGTAGGCAGCCATCAGGTCCCCCCTCAGCCTCCTCTTGCTGAGGCTGAACAGGTTCAGGTCCCTCAGTCTCTCCTCATAGGGCCTGTCCTGCTGCCCTCTCACCAAGTGGGTGGCCATCCTCTGAACCCTCTCCAGGCTGGCCACATCCCTTTTGAAGTGTGGTGCCCAGAACTGGACGCAGTACTCCAACTGCTGCCTGACCAAAGTCGCATAAAGGGGGAGTATCACCTCTCTGGACCAGCTTGAGATGCACCTTTGGATGCATGACAAGGTATGGCTGGCCTTGCTGGCTGCAGTCTGGCATTGGCGGCTCATGTTCATCTTGGAGTCAATAATGACTCCAAGATCCC